AGACTCTGTTTATCCTGTCTCAACAAAAAAGAACACAAGGAATGTCAGAATAGAAGAGACCATTTTGACCCATCACAACCAATATCTTGCTTTCTAATACTTCATGCTACTTCAGTGGAAATATTATTTGGCATTCTCCTGTCATTATACAATCTGTGTGATAGAGAGATGAAGAAATTTCTCTGTGAGTCCAGATAGCCGTCCATTTTAACCCTGAATCATGAGGCTCCTTGTCTTCTTGTCTATGCAAGTCACTAAAACTTTTTAGGAATGATAAACTATGTACCTTAAGAATATCCCATAAGAGCAAATTACAGTGGTTAAAAATTTTATTGTATACATACACATCATGATCAAACTGATGAAGGTCATCGGTTCATTTCAGAAGTGAAATCCTGCAGCACTGCAACTAGTGTGAAGATGGTTTCATTCTGAGAATTCTGAGAAGGGTTTCATTCCAGACTGAGAAGACTATCATCCCATTTACAATAGATAATGTGCTGAATGTGTAGTACAGAAAACGTAAAATGAGTTCTTAAGAAATCATTGGCAACTTAATTGCATTATAAAAATCAATAGTTTATCATTTAATGGCTTTACTGGACAAAGAAGAGTGGCTACACTATTTAAAGTTCCCACCAGTCATCCAGAGGTTGTTTTTCTTTAAGCCTTCTCAAAAACTATCTGAATCAAAGAGGCGTGAACAAACTATAAGAAACATTAGACAAAACCTCCTTCTACGCTGTAAAGCTGAAACAGAACAACCAATAGATCAGTATAGGTCAGAGCGTTTGAAGACTGTAACTGCTATAAAGCTGGTTCAAGGAGAACTTTTTCACTTTTATATAGCATACCAAAGTTAAGCACAGATTGTTTTAATACTGTAGCAAACCGTGGCAGGTTTTAACTGTTCCTGTACACTTTCATTGTTATTATATAACTTTCATGAACTACTCTGAAGGAATGAAGGTCGTTAGCACACACATTGCATAAAGCTGATGGGTCTTTCAGTTAAAGAAGTTTACTGCTTTTTTTCACGCTATCACATTTATTTTATCTGTAAACAGATATCAGTTGCCCCATTTAAAACCAAACAAAGCAAAAAAGAAGAACAAATTAATACTCTTTTCAGCTCTGTGCTGGTTGTCTTTCTACATCCAAGAATACTGGCTAACTAGGTAGGCATTCTCAATAAATGCGTCTTCGTAATTTTCAGGTTTTAAATGCCTGCTCAGAACTGAAATTTGGCCAGCTGATCACACGGGTGGGTTCCTATAGAGCCTGATAAGACATAAGTAGCCAATTTTCCAGTTTCAAGTATTACTGTCTGAGCACTCAGTGCTTTCTGGAGTGGTGAAGCACAATTTTTTCACAGAAAGAATATGATTTTTTGTACGCTTCATGAACAGAATTAGTCTGGTGATAGCGGTATGCTAATGTCTTTGCTCTCATCTCAGCACTGTCCAGTGTGGTGTGAAGAAAAGACAGACGCAGAAGAAATGCCTCCACAGCTTTCCCATCCCTGCTGCAGCTGCATCCAGCACCTTAACAGTCCCCTTGCCCATGGCCCTGCATGGTCCCCTTCCAAGCTTGAGCCACAAGACTGCATAGCAGTGAGAGGAAACTTGATGCAAGTTTAATCTTGGAAGTACACGCCACAGAAGTCAGCTCAACTATGTTTTTTCATAACTATCCACAATCCTCAAATAAGGATTCTACAGAAGCTCTGTTGATGAAGTATTTGTAGGGCTTGGGAAAACAGATTGGGAACTCATTTTGAATTTTAACATGTTTACCCAAGAACTGTCTTCTCCAAAACACTGTGTTTTCTGAATCAAAGGCATCACCCCATTCTTCTGAAAGAAAAGCATTAAGCTCATGGAGAGATTATACAGATGCATGTCTCAGAGAAATTATTCTGTTCTAGAAGTTCAAATAGAAATAGTTGGGATAATTAATGAATTCCACTATTTTATTTATTTGAACAGTATTTGTATCAGACCAAGTTACAAATAAAAATGAGACAAAATTCAGAGTTCACATACGTGGCTGAAGGAGGAAGCCTTCTGTTGGAAAATTTTCAGAGATCTGCAAACAGCAATGGATACAATGGTGACCACGCAGCTAAATTACCCTGCATGACGTAAATCTTGGCAAACACGTTCCTAGGAACGTCACTGGCTGAGGAGGAACGCTCAAAGGAAATGACAATCAGCCTGGCACTGGGGCAAATATGCCTCAGCTCCATGGTAGCTGTTACCAAGTGAAGGCACACAATGTCTCCCTTCCCTCTAAGTCAATAGTGGCAACAAGTTTCTACAGAAAATTTCATAAGATGCCTGTACATCTTCTTTCTTAGCTTAACCAGTATTCATAATTCATATTGGTCTCAAAAGATAACACGGCATTTTAGGAAATGCAGTATGAGCTAGAAAGACAAGAGACTTCCAGAGTATGTGAACCAACCATCTAGAAAGGCATAAAACAAACCAGTTCAGAACGATGCAATACAGAACAGACTGGCAAATGGTCATTAGAGATGAAATGGAGCTTTCCACAGGAGGGAAGGGAGGCTGCTTGCCGTATATCAACTGGCAGGCTGCTCCAAGTGTGAGCAATGGTGTGCAATAAGTCAGGAACAGATGAAGGAAATTACAGTACTATTCCTATGGATATAAACCAAGCTATGCCAGTGGGGGTCCTTTAAAAATGGCTGGGTTTAATATCACACATCAAATATCTAGTGCACATTGAATACTCTCCTAAATTAAATCAATTCAGTTCCCAGCATGACACTAGTAACATCTTGGTATTTTAATTTAAGACAGGAGACCTAACCACACCTTGGGCGTAGGGCATTTACTAGAAGAAGGGATGTCCATCTGTTCCAATTTCCTACTCCAAGTTACAGTAAAAGTCTCTTCACTGAAATGTGTTGTACCATGTAAGAAGTTCAGAACATAGAAGGGTTGTATTAGAAGATAAACACGTATGAGTTCTGACAGTTTTCCCCAAACTATAACCCAAACACTTGCTGAACACTCATCATATCTTTCCAGGGCTTTACTTAATGTACACTGTACAGCAGCCTAAAATGTCTAGCCAAAGAAAAATACATAAAATAGCAGCTCAGGTGTCAATAGCAGCTGACCTACGAATAAAACCTTAAAGAAGTCAGAACAACAAACATCATGATTGTCTGATCATTACTTTTACAGTTTCCCACATTACCATAATTCCAAAACAAACCTTGGAAGTATGATGGGCTCAGGCCATAGATGGGCCAAATGCAGTAATGCAAGGTTCTTTGCTAGTTTTACATTACCTGCAATTTTTGAATCATAGTGTCTACAAGAGATATGGGGATTTTTTCAGTAAAACTGGTAGAAACAGAGGAAAAATTTTCCCCTCACAGTATGTCTAAAACCAGTTTTCTCCAGCAGCTGGCAAAGGGGACTTGTGCTGCCCAGTTTTGCCCTGAGCAGTCAGGTAGCTCCTTCCACATGTTACACTCACAGCTGGATGCTTCATATACCTTTATAACTTTAGGCTCTTCAGCTGAATCTCGGTATTTAACTGGAATTTCTTAACTCCTCAGGCCTTAGCACAACTTCTGTCACAAAGGATTCAGGCTTTTTAGATACAGTTATGTGTAACAAATTTCAGGATGACTTCAGGTTAAACCGCATATAATGAACTACGTAGTTTCTGTTGGCTACAGAACTCACCAATAGCTTTTTAACCTTTCTTTTGCTATCATCATCTCTCTTTTGTCCTTGTTCTATTAACTGTTTTTATTTAATAACCTGTAGCTCAGTTTTAGTGTTATTGTTTTCCTTATCTCCAGTACCCAAGAGCTCTAATCAGTGTAATCCAGTGTATGATAAAATTACACTGGATGTGATTTCTTTGAAAATCCCAAGGTAAAATACGAAAGCTAAATAAGTCTTATAATTGATTTAACTCATTCCCTTCCTTGGCAAAACCAGGACAGTACCTTTCAGGAGCAAAAGCAAGGAAGGTGAGCAGGGGGATGGTGGGTCAAGACAAGGCAGGACTCATCAGTGCCTCAGCACCTTCATTTCATGTATTTCATCATGCTGTGATGGGTTACAGGGTTCTTAATTGTTCTTTGCAGAAACATTAAGACGTACTTTGAGGAAGAAAGAAGTATTCAATTATTTTCTGGTGAAAAGGCTACAAAGTTTCATGAAGAAATGCTTCGATCAAAAAAAAAACAACTTCAAGGAAAGATCTTTGACTAATATCTCATAATAAAAACCAGGATCAAACTGCTTCCCTGTGAGCTTCTTCCCAGAGGTTTTTGAAGCCATCAGGAGGTGTTTGCTTATTTTTGACAGGGTTGTTAAAACTACTGGGGCTTCTCATTTCCTTCTTTTTGACAAAAATACCAGATCTGCAAGTCCATTCAAATTCCTTAAAAAGCAGGGACATCAATGTGGCTGCTCTGGCTTGTAGCATAAACCACAACAGCTTCCTACATCCTTCTCAAAAAAAACACTTTACATGATGAAGCCTTCAAGAGTAAATGGGTAACATGTTTCAGGAGTTGAGATCTGGGAGACATCTGCATTTGAAATGCCTCCACGGGCCTTGGGTGACACGGTGACATTTCACACTGCCACCCTCTGCCTCGGGTGCCCTCAGGGACCCCCTGTGAGGGGGCCAGCACAGCCCTCTCTGCCAGCTTTGGTCGAGTTTTATTCACTTAGTGAGGCCAGGGAGGGCGGCGGGCGGCCCGGCGGCCAGTTCCCGCCTTATCCTCTGAAGAACCGCCGCCGACGGAACTCGAATTGACAGACGAGGGCGCGGCTACAGGTAACGGCCGCCCGTCACGACTGACCGATGGAGCCACGCCCCGCCCGCCGCCATTTTAAACGCTTACCGCCCCTTTCCCCTCGCCCCGCCTCACGGCGAGCCTCGGGCCCGCCCCTCTGTAGGTGCGGCCTCGACCCCAGCCACCTCGCCCAGGTGAGACCCGGCGGGGGTCCGAGCTCCCCGGTCTGAGCAGCCCCGGTCCTCTGTGGCGAGCGGTGGGGACGGGACGGGACGGGACGGGACGTAGCGGGGCGGAAGGGCGGCCAGGCCCGCCCCGGCGGCGGCGGAGGGGTGGGGAAGCGGCCTCGGCTCTGGGGTGGTGCAGAGCAAAGGGTCTGTGGGGATGCTGATGCTTGCAGCGTGGGTCCTCTGTCAAAACCTCGTATGCTTGATTTTTTTTACTTATTTTTTTATAAAACTGAAAAGCTTGATTTTATTTTTTTTTTCTTAATTCGGCAAGTTGTGTGAAAAGGCTGGCTGTGCTGCTTTCCACATGGGAACACCGGTAGTCTTGGTACAGTTTATTAATGGTCTTTCTGCCCATTTATTATGTTAACTTGTATTTTGAGAAAATATATAGCAGTGTTACAAACCCAGCTTTAAATATTCAATATGTAGAATTCATTTGTCTGGAAGATACTAAAACCCTTCATCAGTGATGAACTGCTTTCTCTGGTGTGTCCCAGCCTACCATAAATCACCCCTGGCTTTGGGCCCATGATGGTGAGTTATATGTATTAACAGTCTTGGGTCTAAGCCTATGTTCCCTGCCAAAAATAGTGTATTTTGTGCCATGGTTCAATGCAGATTAGCAGTAGGCGCAAATTCACTTTATTTTTCTTCACACTTTTCACTTTAGTAGAAAACCTTACATAAACACAGCTTTTTCAACACCGGAAAAATGTATTTATATGATTATCTAAGTTGTCCCTTTTAAGTCAGGAGACTAACCGTGACTACGAAGGCTTTTAGGACTGTGAGTCTGTCCATCTCTGTCTCCCTTGCAGTTAGGACAGCGCTTAGCATTGAGTAATTTAGAGAACCATGAAGGTCTGTTTCCATTTGCTGTTTGTAAAATGCTCTTTTGCTTGTAACTGACTAGGGACCAATTGTTTGAATTGCAGGGCTACATAAACACAAGGTATTATTGAAATGTTTGAATGTGAAACATTCTAGATTGAAGAAAAAGTATACATTGGAAGATAATCATAGGATGGAGGTATTTTTGCAGGGTCCTAGGTGGTTTGTGTGAATGGAAGGATTAAAGGGTCTGTTGGACTGCAGCCACTTTATTTTCAGTGTAGGAAATACAGTGAAACTAACTATCAACGTCAGTGCACAAATCAAGACCTCACAAGGTAAATCCTGATAGGAATCTCTTCTTCCAAAGATGAGCATCTTTCATTGTTGCTTAACTTTATAAGCTATGCTTGTGATGGTTTGTTATTGACTGACACTTTAAGCCTGTATTTCCATTTGGACAGATGTACTAAAGAACATGGTTCAGGGCAATAAAAAAAATAAGTTTGATCTGTGACTGAAAAATGAGAGAATTGCTACTTTATGGCATTCTATAAAGATGACATAAAATATCTATTTATTTGATAAATATGCAAAAAATTGAGGACTTATATTTCTAGATGCTGTTGATTTTTAAGAACTCTTGATTTTTAGAATTTCTGCAGAGGAGGAAGAAAGATGAAAATGGAAAAAAATATTGCAACTATCAATTTTCAAGACCATTCTCTCCTTCATTTTTAAGCATAGGTTACTGTAACTAAAGACAATAATACTTGATGCATAATAAAAGCACCTCATATTATCTCAGTAATTATGTGACAGATACGTCATTCACTACCAGTTTTAATAGCAAAAGTAATTCCTGGTCTTCATTTGTAGTAACTTAATGGAAATTGGGAAGTTACAAGTAAGCAATATATAAGCAGAAATGTATTGCAGTGTAACTTGCCGTAATTTTTGCCTTATGGAAACAAACTGACATTTCACTGAGGTGTTTACAGTAATCAGCTTTGTAGTATGAATGAGTTGTCCTAACACAACTGCTTACAAACTTTAGGTCTAGTTTAGCTTTCATTAAAGTTAGGAAGAGCCGTCTGGTTATGAATTTGATAGTTACAAGGTTCATCAGTTTTTTTGAGTCTATATAAAATATGTTCTGCAAATCAATAAATAACCTGGGTAGCCCATATGTATGTCAGGTTAAAAAAAACTGCATTGGTGACAAATGTGCCTGACTGGTGCCTGACCATGGAAGTTACAGTAATACAGTCATTGTAAATATGTACTGTAGGGGAGGGTATGACTTCTACCTTTCTTTCACTACTGGTCCTTCACATTTAGCTCTGGCAAAGTGAATCAAAACAACAGGTCACTCTGAGATTAGTTGCACGGTGCCATTGCTTCTCACTATGACGTGAATCATGCAATTTTGAGTAGTTTTGCTTGTTTTAAAGGCTATAGATAATAGTGAAGTTAGGGCTGCAGGAAAAAAAAGAGGAATAAACAGTGATTTCCAAAGCAATTGCTTTGTATGTGAAGTGAATATATTCAGAAGGAAGAAATAATACACTTGCTTTAGAAGTGTGTTCTTTAAAAGGCATTTCTAAAATGTCTACTTTATAATCTAGAACAGTTCAATATAGCTATTAATGTAGTAATTCTTAAAAAAACAGTTATGTCAACTGAAGAAGTAGGAAATTTGTATAGAAAACGGTCTAAAATGCAGAATAATGTAGCTGGTGTGTTAGATGTGCAGTGGCAGTATTAAAGTAATACAATCAAAATGCTAACTATGGGTTTTGATAGACCTCTTAAAAAAGCTATGTTTTCTAAATTTTGTTTTCTAATAATCAAAAAGTTTAAAATGAACTAATGTTCCTGTCAGCAGCATGGGATAAGATTCTAATGTCTGATCTTTTTTTTTTTTCCATTTGTATTTCATTTCCAGACAACTTCAACCCTTAAAATAATTGTTGCTGTTAAAATAATTGCAGTTAAACATCAACAGATTTTATCACTTTTTCCTAAACGAATGATGATCTACTTTTTAAAATAGAATGCTGCTCTAATCCTTTAAATGTATGCATTGTTTATGAAGTCATGTGTGTTGTCACTGAATTTTTAGTTCATTCGCAGTCATATATCTTTCCTTAAATATTTTTAAACTTTTTCTCACTTCCTGGTTGTGAGAGCTAAACTGCTCTTTATGAGAAGCTATGCTTATATTCTCCTGATCAGTATATTGCTTTTTATCTATTAAGAAAATGGTTTAAGGATAAAAAAATTTTCCAGTAATTAAAAGTAATTTAATTCCTTTAAGTGGTCTGTGCCTGAACTAAAACAATGAACGTAAACAGAGATACCAAATAAGAAACAAAGTTTTGTGAAAGGGTTTCTGTCAGTTGACGAGCACCTTCATTTTTCACAGTGAAGGTGCATGTTGTCTCTTGTGACTGGTTCTACGTGTCTTTGGAGACTGACAACTACCTTTTATGTTCAGGGTCCCTTAACTTTCTGTTGACTTCAAGTGAAATTACAGAAACTCAGTGTGATTGAAGAGGGACGTGGGAGGCTTCCAGGATCAGTCCCTTCACTTTCTACTGTTCTGATTCTCTAACTGCAGACAACTCTTAATTCACATTGTCTTGAGCAACCCTCAAATAACTTAAGTGCTTGTTTTGAGCCTTACACTAATCATCCTCAAAGAATGCTGAATGTGAAAGAAGATAATTTTTTCTCAGAAGTCTCTGCCAAATATCTCTAGATGGAGTGGTTTCTATTGCAGCTGCTCCATATGTTTCTCTTTTTCTGTACTAAATGTTAAGCTCCTCTTTAATGGCATCTAATGTTTTCTAGTGGGCACTCAACAACAAAGAATAATAAAAAAATATGTATTAAAAATGATGTTTCAAACATTTTTAAAGCATGAGAAAGTCTTCATTGTTAAAAGTAAGGGCTGATGATAAAATTACTAGTTTTACTAGACTACGAGGAAAGGCAGCCCTGAGTACTTGATGCATGAAGGGAACATTTTCTAAGACAGCATCAATATTAATATTTTTTTGATCTTAATTTCTTTGTGGTAGCAATCTGATGCGATTGATATATGTTTGGTACTTGTGAAAAGTATTTCATAATACTTTCATATCTTTTAAAATGTGGTTGGGGTTTCATTGTAAATTTTTTTTCATGTCAAATCCTATCTAAAGCTGTTTTGGTTTTTTTTGCAGCGGTGTCTGTCTTTACTGATTGAGAGGCTGAAATTATTTTTTTGCCTGAGAAAGCTGGAAAATGTTTAAAAATCACTATCAGGTAAAACAGAAACAAAATTAATTTTTATTCTCTTTCATTTCACCTGAGAGCTCAATTAAAACGGTGTATTCCAGGGGCCAAAAAGTCCAGATATAGAAATGTTTTGGAACGTTTCATTATTTTTATAGAAATGTTGTGAAATAGTCCAGTAGGACACATACTCTGCATAAGGTGTTTTCACCTGGGAGGGGCATTCATAATCTTTTTCCAGGATTAATTCTCTGATGCTTCATGGAGGTATCACTTTTTATGGTGATACAGTAGGATTGAATCTACTACGAAGCCTCATAGTTTGGCCTAGAAAAGATAGTAAATTTTTGTAAGCTTCTCAGTCTGGTCAAATCAGGCTGGTAATACGGTAGTAGAAAAGTTACTGGGAAATGTCCCTGACATACTCACATACGTAGAAAGAGCTGAACATTTTTATGTATGTAGAAAAATTGTCTAAACTTCACTTCCATATGAAATTAGACAAAACATCCAATCTGCAACATCCTATTTTTTAGCAGTGTTCTAAAATTCATTTGTTAAGTTGTGGAAATAAACCATATCCAAATATAAATTACTAATTTCCTGCATGTTCTTAGAATGTTAACAATAATTTAGCTTTTTAGAGAATGACATTATAAATAAAATAATTTAAAATATTCCATGGTATTCCATGGAATGGAATTTTATGTTCTGATCCTCTAGTAAAGCCAAATGTTGACTGTATGGATTGCTACATTATAGTAGCCTAGGAGCTGTTATAAATATTCTGCTGTCTGCCTGATCAGTAATACTGACTGTGGTGACAGCCTGATGTGGGGAGGGATTGTTCTTATGTGCTCACCTTGACCATTGTTGATTCAGTGCTGAACATTTGCTTGGATCATGTATCCTTAAACCTTTTTATCATAGGGTGGCCCATTTGTTGAAATATTCAGTGCTCAAGGCAAGAACCCAGGAGCAAAATGGAAGATTTTTGGCAATCCATCAGCTATATGGAAAGTAAGTTTTTAAAGAAACTTGTAACACCTGGAGTATAAAACAGAAAAATGTGAATGAAGCTTAAAATTAGGAAGTAATGAGGGCTTTGACCTCACAGTGGAGTTGTCACTTGCAGTTCTGTCATTATGACAGACTATGACTATTTAAATTAGTTCTTTATACCCACTTGCAGACTAGGTTGGTTGCAGTGTAATTTTATAGTTTAAATATTTAGAAAGTAATTTTGCTATTCTGATAACTAAAGGATTGAGTTGGGCCCAATGGATCCTGAGTCCTGTCTGTCAGCATTATTTGTTCATAATACATGCAAGTAAAGGACATATTTCTATGGATTATATTATTACCATCACATTTGAACTACTGACATACTTGCAGTGCTGTCTGCTAATTGCGATTTTTATTTTTTTAAAAAAAGTAACTTTGCATGTTAGTAGCGTGGTTGGTTGTGAGGAGAAAAATTATATCAGGCTGCTTATGTTTGTTGTTTCTTTTTGTAGGAATATGATAAAGAAGTAAAAGGCTTTGTTTTTGTACTTGAAGGAAGCAGTCAAATCAACAAAATGCAGCTACCAAAGGAAACTAGACAAACTTGTAAGTATCAAAGGATTAAATGTCTGTGATGTTGTTCTGATGATTAAATGAGTGTTACATTGGAATGTAAAACTTACATTTTCTCCTTACTTTAGACTTAATTCAGCATTAGCAAAGTGGTTTTTCATTAGCTTTTTAGCAGATCAGTTTAAAATAAGTAAAAGGTACAGAAATGCCATATTAAAAGTAAGTGCTGTAGGGAAGATCCTTGTTGATACATGCTGTCCTACTGCGGCCAGGTTCACTTCTGCACCTGATCCTGCTGCAGGCTGATGTCTGGCAAATAACTTCCAACACCGTTCAGCACTTACTGAAGTCAATAATTCTATTTGCATTACAGAATGTGAAATAGGTTCCTGTCCTATTTCTCATTTTATATTTTAAAGTGTTTTTACTTTTATGCACCAAGTAAGCACTAGCAGTACAAGGAAGTTATACACAAATTTCAGCTGCATTCATGTAATCAGTCCTTGATGGGTCATATGAAGTGTTTCCTCAGGTGCTATTACTTGCACCAGAATAAACCAGAATCAAAGCAGTCTGTTTTCCTGGGCATACACCAATCATAATTTATGCCTTAAACTCCACTGCAGGGTATTACACTTTATAAGGCTTACAGTAATGGATAGAGCTGGTTTAGAATTAACTGCCTGCTTCTGAAGAAAAATTGAGATGGTGATTTTGGTCAAATGAAACAGGAATCTTCTAGTATATACCCTGCAGGAGAAGTATAATTAGAAATTAGTTTCTCCTAACATACACAAAAAATAAATAGGGAATTGTATAGTCTGATCATGCACTAAGGCCTTGAAGATTAATCTGATTCCTATAAAAGAAACTTACTATTATCTTCAGTATAATAAGTATGTCTAATATAGTATCCTTCTGAGAAACCCAACTTTAATTTGTTTATTGCCAATGTTACAAGAAACTGCTAGAATTTAAAATGAGGATTGAGAATTAGTGTTGTGGATTATCACTGCTAAAAATAGTTTAGCTTTAAATTTACTTTAGCTAGTCCTGCAGTACTACAGTCGAATTTCCATCTGTTGCCATTCTGTCTTCCTCTTTTGAGGTGTATATACCTCAAGTATTTAACTTATGAAAGGTCTACCATCTCCCAGTTGTATTATAATCTTGGAATATTCTTCCAAATTAAGACATTTATATATATACAAATGTAATTTGAAAATTTAGTGTGTCATTTGACCCACAAAAGAAGGAAGTTCTAAATTGGCATTCTTTAGAAAAGGAGCTCATGTTGTTGTTGAGTCTTGTTGAGCCAACGAAGAGCAGCCTATACCTTCCTTGACAGAATAACTAAGAAAGGAACATACAGTTCAATTCAGACAGCTTTGTACTATCTAATTTTCCTTTAAGGAGCTTCCTGAATCCTGGAAGATTTCTGGTTGTTCCCTCAGTTTTTCTGAAAATCGGAAGCCTCCGTCAAGCATTGTTGTCATAACCTGGATTGCATTTTTACCCAACAGGTTTTTTGAAGTTGTTTAATAAGGTGTACATTGTCACAAACTTGAGAGTAAGTTTCACATGACTATGAGATAATATGGTAGGAAAGTATTTATTTTATAATTTCTGTGGGATATTTGGTGTCTACATTCTCTTGGAACACAATGTAGAATTGTAAGGAAAAGTTTACTTTTATTTTCATGAGAACCATCAAAGCCACAGATGGGACTTTTAAAACAACACTTTTATTGCAGTTTGAATTCGTTTTCTTTAGGTTTTGCTCACGTTCCTATGTTGTGTGAGCAGTGGGAAATAGTGTTGCCGTAGTACAAAATAGTATATCTGTATAGTACAAAATTGAAATGCTCAGTGGTGAAATGTGCATCTGTATGCATACAGAACATATATTTAATTTTTTTCCTTTTTCTAGTGGGACTGATACAGCAATTTCTGACACTTCAGATTTTTGTGCCACTGGGACAAGACTTCTCCACTGAGTTACTGTAAGATGCAAAAATTTTCCTTGAATACTTAAAGTGAATGTCTGATTGCAGCCATTAATTGTAGTGGCAGATCTTGCATTAAAGCACGGTGACTTATCAAGTCAATAAGAAGTAATTAAGCTAATGAGGTCATTATTTCTTGAATGTTTTAAACACTGACACTCCTTTGAGGACAGAACAAGCTCTAAAAATCATGAATGAAGATGGTAGAAAATTTGAAGAAATGGGACGTGTATTTGTCAAATGTGAAAATATTGGCTCATGAGTCTCCTGAAAATTCGTAAGAGACTTTTAATTAACTATTCCAGGGCCTTTTTGTTCAGGGAAAAAAGAAATATATATTCTAATTGGGGGAGAAAAGAGCAAGCAGGTTGTAAAAATCTAGAACAATTTGGAATACTCAATTGGTATAATTGTTTTGTAAGGAAAGAGAGATACAGTTGAAACAGACCGCTTTTCATTAGTTTGTTGTGGAATGTTTTAATATAGCTTTAAACTTTGAGCAACTGTCAGTCTTTGAACACCATTTCCACCCTAGTGGCACCAGCTGTTCATAACCAGCACAGCCCGCTCAGCTTTGTAGCCAGTAGAAGATCTAAGATTTGGATTAACAAAATGTGTATTATACCATTAGAAACCCTGCAAGAAAAGATGGGTTGAAGGATATACAATTAAACTGAGTCAAGTCAGTGAAGAATTTTATTTTTGTTTGTCTTTCTCTAAGTTTCCATTCATCTGTACCCACTAGTGTCAGCTTTTCTTGACTGACTGAAGTCTCTTGTGCCTGTAGTAAGGGGAAACAAACTTTGTGGGTTTAAGTCAAAGGGTAAAATGAGATGCTGAGAAAATATTCCAGCTATAACATAGTTCAGAAACTATTCATTATAACATGAATAATCTATTTCATTAAATTAGGATGGCATGCTATTTTATGTTGCTGGGTAATTCTTATCTTCTATACCTTGATGTACAGTATATTCCAAGTCACCTTGGAATATTTTGTTATATTAACAAACAACATGCTAGTGTGAATTGAGTCATATTTATTAAAAATCTTTAGTCAATTTATAACAATCCATGCAGCTATTTTAGTCTCAGTGGTTTTTGAGTTAGTGGGCATTTATAACCTACATCATGGTTGTAACATTATACATTCCTCTGTGGCATGCTTAATTTCTAACATGATTTTAGAATGTGAATGTTGAGAAAATCTTCAAAGGATACAATAACTTATTTAGCACGGATCTTTACCAGAGCATATTTTTGTTCCTCCATGGAGCATGGAATTATGGGCTCAAAATACTTGTTTTAAAGACAACTTTAGCTCTATGCATCAAGATCTTGGTGCAGAAAATACTAACGTTTTACTAATTTAAAGTGAGAAGAAACTGTTGGTAATTGTTGAATAGATGAGAAAACTGTAGATTTTCAAGCAACTTCCCTTTCTCATTAATTTCTCTTCCTACCACAGCCTTTATATGTCTTCCTCTTATGTCTTCCTTTCAATGTATTTGTTTTTATTTCTTAGCTTATTTTGAATCATTTTTTTGCTTAGATAATAAGGTATCTCTTACTTAAGAATACCCAACTTTAAAGCTAACTTTTTTTTTTCCTGCAACAAAGAGCTTCTTTTTGTGTCAAATCACACTGACTTTTCTGTTCTTTGGTAAACTTCCTGAATGTAGTTCTAGTTCCCCTTTCTGCTTCTATGATTTAAATTGCTGCCTTACTTCTAATTGTGTATAACAAAATGGACAAAGCAAACAGCATGTGTCATGTAGTAAACAGAAACCAAGGACAGGATTTGTTCTTCATAGACATTCTGTAGACAGATGGCAGAGACTTAGTGACAGGTGCAGGTATAAAGTTTTTCTAGAGTGTTGTACTGAGTTTGATTCTTTGGGGTACTTGCCAACCATCGATACCTATTAACAAGAACCGCTTCTTTGCTTTTCTTCTACTCATTTTTATCTCTTCATCACTTGATATTTTGATAACTGAGAGGTCTAATTTTCCACCACCTCTCCCACATTTCTTTGCCCTTTCTCTTTCCAGCTTATATCTAGACTGTTTTCTTCATCTTTTCTCACTATTTCCTATTCCCACTATTACAATGTCCCTTTTATAATAGTATGTATTTCTATACTATTTGTATGTACTTCGGTACATTTAAATACACGTGGTTTTTTTTATTTACGCTGTACATAGGTTATGTAAACATATTTATTATATTTACACAGATAAAACATTTTTCACTACTTTTTCTCTTATCTTCAACTTTCCTGACCCCAAATTAGTATTATCAGAGAGCCTGGTACAAATCCTAATTGTCTCTCCTTTTCTTATGTGCAGTGATTTCAGTGTCTATGTGGATGAAGTAATCTCACTTAATACATTTCTATATACTTTTAACAAAAAAACCAGATGTTTAATACAGTGTATCTGTTTCATTGCTTAATTACTTTAGTAGTTATCAGAATAAGCATGATTTGATTATAACATAAGTTCATCAATGCATTCAAGGTAACTGGAGCTAATTAAAGGTACATATATGCCTAAAAGTACAATCTCTTTTGTTCCCCACTTACTGCAACTGTATGCAGAAGTTAATAAAACTTCTTTAAAAATAAATCTAGTTCTAAAATTTTGTATTAGAAATCAAGTGTAACTTATTCGTGTACCTATAAACTCCTTCAAGAATTGCAGAATCGACTATTTTATCCTAGCAGACTCATAATAATCCAGCAAATAACATAGACTAGTCCTTCTTGCTTTGTATGACTGCCCTTCAGTTTTCTTCACTTCAGGTGTTTTGAAAGGAATCTTTTGCTTGTTTGTGGGCAGAATATTGATTGTGCTGGTGCTTCCTGAAGTTTAATGTTTAAAAATGGTTTTTTACATAATCTGACTACTACTTACTACTGAATCTTTGAGTAGCTTCAAGTGAAATTGATAGCATACCAAGCCATCAAATCTACTTTATGCAAGAAACACTTTGCAAGTTTTATAATAGCTGCACATGATGCTTTATGGTACATTTCTTCCTCTCCCATTCTGCATAGAGATGGAAATATGAATTTAGTTTCAGCCTTGTCCTCTTTTTTTCATTCTGTTCAGTGATTGATCTGATCAGCAAACAAGAATTTCTTCAAGGCCATCTATCACTCTTGGCATTAGCTCAGCTAAACCTTTCAACTTACTGCTATCAACCAGTCATGAGGATTCCTGTGATAAATACTGAATGTGCAAACAACTGTTTAAATTAGCTGGTTTGCCTTTTCTTCAGAATAAATTTAAGTAGAATTTTAGAGACTTTGTTAGACTGCATGATTAGATGAGTATCGCCACATTAACAATCAATGTATTGATCTGCCTAAAAACTGTGTAAAATAGATTTTGGATGACTGCACAAGTAGTTTGGTAGATATCCAGATGTTTTCTCTGTTCTATTGTCACCTTGCAGGATTTTGCAACCTATTTCTGATCCTGCTATTTTCACGTTTGAAGAAAATCTCTTATATTTCAGTTTGTCCACATTGCCTCTTGTCCATTTAAATACTGCTGAGGAGTCTGGCTCAGCCTTCTTTACTCCCTTCCATCAGGTATTTATACGTATTGAACTACTATTTATACCACATTTATGCACCATTGATTCACCCTTGAACCTTCTCAAGGCTAAACAATCCCAGCTCCCTCAACCTCTTCTGCTAACTCAGATACTCTGGTCTTTTAATCATCTTCGTTATCCTGTGCTGGACTCACGCCGTTGTGCCTGTGTCTCTCATATCACAGAGCTGAGCACTGGACCCAGCACTCCAGCTGTGGACCTACCAGGGCTGAGTAGGAAGGATCAGCTCCCTGGACCCGCTGGCAATGCTCTTCCTAATGCAGTACAGGATGCTCTTCACTTTCTTTGCTGCAAAGGTGTTTTGCTGGCTCGTGGTCAACTTGTTCACCCGGACCCTCAGGTCATTTTGTGCAAAGCTGCTTTCCAGCTAGTCAGCCTTCAGACTGTACTGGCACATGCAATTATTCATCTCCATGTACAGGATTTACAGTGTGTAATTTAAAGTTAAGATTTTGTATTTTAAATCTGGTTTTGTTTTTACTTGTGGAAACTCAACAGCATTAAGGCAGTTGTTTGCTTTTTGTTCACATGTATTTTTTGTTGGGGAGAAGAATTTCAGAAAGCTTGGGAATAATCAAACACAGTTGGTACATATTAGCTTTGAAAATTTGGCATTTTCCTAACTTTGTTTGGAATGACATCTCAGAATTAGCATGGCCTGAAACCACAGTTGTAGCTTATTTTCACTCTGAGGAGTGATATTTTTGATCATACATAGAAGCTTAGTGGATTTATAACAGAAAGAGATGCTCCTGATTTATTGAATAAATGGGAACTCTCTGGAGTTTCAAACTCTGGAACATACCTGATAAGGTTTAAGAAGTTTTCTGACAAAGTTTAGCTAGTTATGTATAGAGGAATCTGCAGGGGGGAAAGGGCTTAAAATGTCCACATTCATAAAGTAGGTGTACTTGTTGATAAGAAATTTCTATTGCGAGGCTTGTGAACAGCACAGTAGAATATAAACTGTTGTACCATATTTCCTTTTTTTCAGTTTCTGTAAATAGAAGTTTATTACTTTCAAATTTTTAATAACCAGCACATACTAGATTTTACATGCATAGCTAATTTATTCATAGACACCATAATAGCTTGAATTTATATGAATTACATGCTAACGTAATTAGTCATCATTTTAGCTTTGCTGACAGATAGAATGAATTATTCATGTTAATCTAAAGACCCAGCATGTTTTCAGACACAGAACAATAAAAATATGAATGTTGGTTAGTCTTGGAAATTTTCAACCAACCTTTTAAAATTAGAAGCAGGACACAGAGGCTAATTCTGTTCTGTACTTCTGACAGTATTTGAAGATTTTAGATAGAGGTTGAAGGTAAAGTTTATTGAACAGATTCAGCTGTAGAGATTA